ACCTTTGGGAAACATGGCTAGGAAACAATGTTTCTTGGTTTTCCCACCTTTGGGAAACATGGCTAGGAAACAATGTTTCTTGGTTTTCCCACCGTTGGGAAACATGGCTAGGACAGTCCACCTTGGGGAAACGTTGGCTATGAAACAATGTTTCTTGGTTTGCCTACCTTTGGGAAACATGGCTAGGAGACAATGTTTCTTGGTTTGTCCACCTTCGGGAAACATGGCTATGAAACAATGTTTCTTAATTGGTTCGCCCACCTACTTTGGGAAACATGACTAGGAAACAATGTTTCTTGGTTTGCCCACCTACTTTGGGAAACATGGCTAGGAAACAATGTTTCTTGGTTTGCCCACCTACTTTGGGAAACATGGCTAGGAAACAATGTTTCTTGGTTTGTCCACCTTCGGGAAACATGGCTATGAAACAATGTTTCTTAATTGGTTCGCCCACCTACTTTGGGAAACATGGCTAGGAAAGTCCACCTTGGGGAAACATGGCTATGAAACAATGTTTCTTAATTGGTTTGCCCACCTTTGGGAAACATGGCTAGGAAAGTCCACCTTTGGGAAACGTAGCTATGAAACAATGTTTCTTGGTTTGCCCACCTTTGGGAAACATGGCTAGGAAACAATGTTTCTTGGTTTGCCCACCTTCGGGAAACATGGCTATGAAACAATGTTTCTTGGTTTGTCCACCTTCAGGAAACATGGCCAGGAAACAATGTTTCCGCAACAATGTTTCCCAAGACACAATAAAAGCACGTTTTCTCCTAAGGGCATGGCAACAGCGTAATATGCACTCAAATATATTCCCGTTTATTGTTTCAATCTTTCTAATGGCAGAAAATTTTATTTATTGTATCAAGGAGAGACACTTGCACATTTATAATGTGTTAACAGTCACAGACAAATTATGTTGCATAGCAACAAATACCTACCAATTCCATCATTTCTTGGTCTTCAAAATCATAAATAATATGTTCCAGAATATCGCGATCAGCAACGAAACCCAGCGCTCGAAACACGATCATAACTGGAATTTCCTGTTTGATGTAGGGCAATGTAGCAATTATACGCTGACCTATGGCGCTCTTTTTACCACCCTGGCTTCCTCTGGCCAACATGGACACCCACATAGTACTTGTCGGCCGTGAAGAATGCTCGATACATGACCGAATCTCTGCAGTGTAGGAATATTTTGAGTCTTTCTTTGAAAAAACATATACAGTATTTGTCGCCATTTTTTCTTGGGCAATCAGAACTTTCTCAGAGCCATTGATAATAAAGTAGCCACCAGGATCAAGTGGACACTCGTTCAGTTCTGTCAAATCACGATCTGTGAGGTTACTTAGTAAGCAGTATGTAGAGCGAAGCATGATGGGAATTTTTCCAATAAACGTCTTGCCATTTTCTTGGACCTGAGGTTCCTGGCCTTCTTTGTGCATTGTCTTGGTAATGTCAACATACAGTGGTGCGGAGTAGCTAAAATATCGAAGAAATTGTAAGGGGTCATCCATGATTATCAACATTTTCACAAGCATATACACCATATGCTCAGGGGTGGCTAGATAAAGATATTTCAAACTTACGTCAGATTTCGAAGTCTTGCTTCATTGGGCATCATGGCCGTAGGGGCACCATCTTTTTCCCAGTGAGTTGGTTTGGACAGATAAATTTGTTCAAACTTCAAAGTGTATTTTGGCTACAATATGATACATACACAAATATGCAAAACATTCATGTAGGTGGGGGGAGTTCTAATGTAGGAGGGGAGAAAACCTGTGATGATTGATTGAATCATGCTGGAAATATTTTCCTCGTACGTGACTGAGGTAAAACCATAGAGATTATAAATAACACTAGAAGAGGCATTGCAATCTTGACATCAGGCAAAAAAATAATGCGGCTATTAATTCAAGTCCTGGATGTGTACTCATGTTCCCATTGGTAAGGAGTTTCAATTTAGCCAATGAGAGCATGATTTTATATCCAGGATCTAAATTTACCCCCATTAGCTGCGTTCCCAAATTTTTAACCTCGATGCCTCCTCTAGTGTTATTTCTCTATGGGTAAAACTATGTTCAGAAAAATGGATATTGCAGGAATTAATCCAGAGTCAAAAGTGAAAGGCACACACCACTTACTATTATTCAACCAATCCCAGTGAGGTGACATCAGGCACAGATTTTTATTAAAGTATATACCAGTACTGTACACACTAAATGTACTAAGTACTAACCACTGTTCTACCCTGTATAATTAGAGTTAGAAATACTGTAGCTGGCAATAAACCGAGCACCCACTAGATTGCCGGTGGCCATGTGTACATTCAACTTACTGGTTCCTCCATATCGGATGTCATATGTTGCGATTCAGCTTGCAAATCAATCTCAGGCGAGTCTTCAACAATCCTCTGAACTGACATCTGAATAAACTCATCAAATGAATCTAACTGTTGTCTAACAAGACCTTTCTCTTCAAAATATGAGCTGATGACAATCCAACATGCTTCTTGCCATAAGTCTGGCGTGATTTCCTCCCCCTCATCATCGCCATATGTACCATCTTAAGTTAAAACAAAAAATCCAACATTTGCATGCTTGTCCAACATCACCTTGCAAGGTTTCGGAAAGATAATGAGGATATCATAGGGTGAATAAATAGTAGATGATGAGGTACGTAAAAGGACTGGACAGAATTTACAGGAATGACAGGTAAAAGCATGATCAAAGGAGTTGCAACTCTCACTTGTGTTTGACTGTCAATCTCATCAACTCTCATCAACTTTGAACTGGTTCAAATTTTGATGAGAGTCGAAGAGAGTTTTCGTTATTGGCACAGTAACATTCAGTCTACTCTCATGCAACTCTTGTTGGGAGTAGGGGCACAGAATAAAGACACACAGAAGGTTGACTCGAGTAACTGATACCACACCATGATTCATCATCAAAATGCTGACGTCATGGTCCTAGCCAGTGCGCGTTTGACAGGCATCCCCCCCTGGACGTCCGCCATTTTGAATATTATCAGGGGGGTGAATGCCTCTGAAACACACATTGGCTAGGACCATGGCGCAGGGCGCGAAATAACGGCCAGTCAACGGACAATGTCCGGCCATAATGCGCAATTGTCCGGTCAAATATTTCTTACCTTGCCGGTCATTTTGACCGGTTACTTTTGGTAAAAGAACAAACAACTAATCTTCATTTGAATTAATAATCAAAATAAAGTTGTCAAGTATTATAATTAAGAACCATAACATGTTGTCGAATATCTTGCGGGAAAAGAACTTCAATGTATGCCAGCTTTCCGACACAGTACTCCACAAAGCCCATGGCCATGCTTTTGGTTTAAGAGTTAAGGTCATGCTTCTGGCAGAGTGCAAGCTGTTTTGTGTGAAGACGTTTTTAATTACTGATTACAGTAAGGCTTTTCGTAATGCTATACTGGGAAAATAATCACATTTTTTAGGGGTATACTTCACTAGGCTTTGCTTTAAGCTGAATAATATGACCGGCCAGAAATACGGTATGTCCAAGCTAAAATTGAGTTGGCCGGTCACCTTGACTGGTGTCCCTCCAGCCGTTATTCCGCGTCCTGTGGCGTCAGCATTTTGATGACGAATTACGGTTATGCCAAAATCATTGGAAAATCATAGGAAAAACCAAAAAGTTGGGCTTCTGTGTAGTCTATTCTGTGGTAGGGGACTTGAATGAGGTGGCCATTGATTTGGCATCATTCCAAGTATGTCCAATGGAAGACTTCACTGGGGATACTTTGTAGCCCTCCGTAATTCTTCATCAAACAGGGTGATTGATAATAATTTGATATATTCACTTGGCCATTTCAAGTCAACAGCCACTTAAGGACTGTCTACACAATACGATTAGTCACACACAATTGTCATTCTGGCACAAGAAAATATCTGCCGACCCAACAATTCCTCTTCATTTAGTTTATGGAGAAGTTTCTTTATGCATGTTTATTAATAGATCACACATGCCAAAATACAAATTGTACATGACTAATCGTATTGCATAGACAGGCCTTCAGAAATACAAAACATATTCCAAACAGAAGCATCTTATATGTACTCAAAATTTGAGTTGTAAGGAAGATTTATTATCATATGTATCTTGCCTTCTTGTTGAATTTACTCAAATCTTGAGAACACATGTTTTTATTCAATGTATTTTTGCATAAAAGACAGGCACACTGTTTCGTTATGACCTTGCATTCTGTATAGGGCATGAAAATTGTACATCCCTGGCTTTGCTTAGAGGAGAGCACAGTCTGGGAAACGATGTATAGTCTCACCATAGAAATATATTCCCACCAAACACTACAAACTACAGTTTGATGAAATGATAATTTCTACAAATTTTCTACAATAACCTACCATCATCTGGGTCAAACATGATTGTAGAATGACTTGGAGAACTTCTGAGATATAAACAAGACCCTTAGATTGCTATTTTACCAAGAAAAACAACAAACAAGCTGAACAACACACACGTTCTCGACCGCCAGCGAAAACAAATGAAGTCTGATCAGTGTCACAGGTCTGATTTCTGAATTTCTATTTATAGCCACAGAACTCGGTTCCAGTCGCCTCGCACAGTCCGCCAAAAATTTCCGGACAATTTCCAATTTTCCTGACAAAACGCGCAAAATATTATTATTTATCCAGAAATATAAATGATTTTCTAACATTTTTTTAATTTTTCAAACAGTTTTGCTTCTTTGGTTATTTTATTTTCTAAACCTTTGTTACACAATGAGTACCAAAACACTAAAAGTATAATATCAGTAAATTTTCACCAAGCATTACATGTATTGCTAGTTTTCTTACACTTTTTTGCCAAATCAAACCATTTATAAATAAGTCAAATAAATAATCTTTTTAAAAAGCTACAATGTTGTTTTCGAAATTTTCTCAACTAAAATGTCGCGATAATTTTCCCCGGTATTTCATGCAAGCGTCATGTCCGGTTTTACTTGGCGCGTTCATGGAGACAAAAGATCGCGGATTGTTGTGAACTAAAAATGATTATTTTTATTGTACGTATTTATGAAATATCATAACTGAAAGAATTGGTAAGTAAACTAAAAAAATTTACGATTTATACCGGGGGAAAGAGCGTAAACTTTTACATGTAACGCAGTGTTTATATTAAATTTACCGGCTTATGTTGCGAACGTGTTGTCCCGCATTCTAATACGCGGTTGCTAACTAAAAGTGTGGCGCTGGAATATTTTGTTGATTAAATGGTCACGCTTAGAACTTATTGTCCCGCAAGTATAAACACTTATTCACCTTACTTCTTATTTTTTTGTTCGTAATTTGGTATCCAAAGTAAACGGACTACTCGTTTTAAAAATGCGTATTGTAAACAAAGATTTTGACAGAACTCGGCAAATGGACAGTCGATGATTTGTTAACACCGAAGAACGTATTCATAATTGCAACTTTAGAGTATAATTTGTTACTTTGAGTTTTAAATATACATTTGTAAATTCAGATATAAGAAATATATGATGTTGCAACTTGCAAACTAGATTAAATATCGACGGCTTGTGTGTGTTGCAATAATTTTGTGACTATAATAGTTTTCGTTGTTAGGGACAAAAGGTTAACAACCGTAAATGGCTAAAACACGTGGAATAACATTCTTCATATTATTTACACGTAAAGCCCTGTTCAAAATGAGGGTGAGAGTTGATAAGAGTTCGCATGAATGTTTTCCAAACTCTCATGGCAATGAAAATTGATGAGAGTTGATGAATTTGACTGGACATTACCATATGGCAAAAACCTCATCTACTACCATCAAAATGTGAACCAGCTCAAAATTGATGAGAATTGGTGATAGTTTTCGGTCAAATGCAAGCAAGACTTGCAACTCTTGTGATTTGTGAACTGTCATCAATTCTCATCCTAAGCTGGTGGTAGTGCATATTCTGTAACATGCCAGAGGGTACATAGTTGCATTTTTTGCAGCTGCTTCTGGTTGGGTCCACAATTGTATATAATTTCTGCTTGAATTAACCCTTCAACTGTTAGTTGTATCGAGCGAGATATCTGCCCATGTACCAAAAACTGATATCTATACATTTATCATTCAGAAATGTACCAATGTTAAGCTGTTCTCACTATTACAAGCTTTTCAAGCTAAATTTAAAGTCAACTAATCCCATATGCATATAATCTTATAAAATCCAAACATCTTGTCTTTTGTGCTATATGCAAATTCTGGGCCTGTTTACACTATGTTGAATTTAGGTACTATGTGCAGATTGCCTGATATGGGTGTCATTTATATATGACTGTACAACATACCCACAAAATGAGCATATCAAGTAAACAACCTTTCTTTGTGAACTGATGCCAAAATTGATGCCCCAAAAAAGAAAACACTGCTCAAAGCCTCACTGGGTATATTCAATGGGTATATCATAAGTTCTCCTTGTATTTTTCAGGTAGTTGTATCCCTATTAATCCACAGCTTTACATATTATATTACTCAGCACCCTGCCTTATCTGGGTTTTTCAGTGACTGGTTACATTAGAGCAGACCGAGGTAGACTGTGAGCTTACAGATGGCGCTTTAAGCAGTTAAGCAGCCCCTGTTAATCCATACCTCATTAATGATCTCCCCCCTAACCTATGTGCCTAACCCACCCTGTCAACTTTCCCTGTGGGAGGAACCAGAGTACCCGGAGAAAACCCACGACTTTCGGCAGAGCGTTGACTTTTACTCTTTTCACATGAGGACTGGGTTCGAGTCACATTGAGAAAGTTCGCACTGAAGCTTGAACCTGCGGCCTCAGAGGTGAAAGGCAAGTGCACAAATCACTTGGACACTGAAGCCCCTTTCTTCATCTTATAGTTATATGGACTGTTTATAGGGACTTACATGCAGGACATTTATCTTTATGTGTGGAGAGGTTTGAGTACCGTTTGACAGTTTTTACATCCCTAAATTATTTTTAAGGAGATACTGCTGTGAAGAGGCAAAATGGGTGCAACAGCAAGCATAAACTATGCTGCATCAAAGAAATATAAACCATCTGAACCAATCGAAGTGAAATTTGACAAAGTTGTCAAGTATGATGATGGTGATGAAAAACCTTTCAGAGGTTGGTCTCATGTTCGCTAGCTTTAACAATATAACTTATTATGTAATTTTGTATTACCTAAAAAATGCATTTTTATGTAAAAAATTATGGCTTTAAGTTTCTGTTATTAAGAATAGATTGATTGTATATTATAAATTGGGTTTTGTAAGTTCAAATTTTATAAATATAATTGTTTCTATTTTGTTCCAGATGGCTTTCAACTAGCCACAAAGAAACAACCACTATCACTTCTTGCAACTGCAATAAGAATTCTAGAAAGGAAACCCAAAGAACAGCCTGCCCCACCTAACGGATACCTTCCAAACAACTATGCTAAGCAAGTGAGGCCGAGAAGCGCTTACGTTGTTCTCAAAAAGCCAACACAATCTTCATCAACTCTCAACTCATCACACCAAAGTGGTAGCCTGGTAAATGGAATGAAAACAAAACAGCATAAACAGTTAAAAACGAAACAAAACCTATACATGAGTTTAATCCATCCAACCCCTGTTCGCGATCCAAAATATGGAATGACAGTTCCATCTCGTATTCGAACACCAATGGATTACCATCTTCCCGCCAGGCCACCAAAAGCTAACACTCTACCAAGATACTCAGCTGGCGATGGTAAGAGAATAAGAGTTAACCGCAAGCTATATATGGATATGATTCGTCCAGTTATGACGTCACCACAGTATCTAAAACTTGGTGCCACTAGAAGCACCCCACCCTTGTCCCTGACACAGAGAACCGCGAGTAGACAATCTCAACCTCAGCACACGAGGTTTACACCCAGGCCACCAAATGGTGATCAGATTTCGAGGAGAGGACTCGATCCAAATTCTTACCATCAGAAACAACATAAGGGTGTTCATCAAAGAGAGGAGTATAGACCTCGTAGGAACGAATATACCCCCGTAAGCATCAGACCGCCAACGGCACAGAGACTTGTGAATAATGCATACAACAGCTCAATGAGTAACAGCGTTAGCTCGTCGTCGCATAAAGACTTACACTTTCCTCGCATTACAAGGAAAACGAAAGACGATGTTTCGCTCAATTCATCACTGAACTCAAGAAGTCAAATTCCTCGTGCACATCCAGAGAACATTAAACCACTGTACTTTCGTAAATCTTTAGCTTATAGTCCGCATTATGAACGCAAGGAGTTGCTGTCCAACCCCTTGTCTAGTATGAATAATTAGTAGATGCTCGTATTGACTATTGTATTTATTTATTTTTATTGTAATTTTATTTGTACTACATACTGTATATAACCAAAAATATAAAATTGGCAACGGCAATATTCTGCTCGCTAAGTTAAATCCACTCATGATGAGGTACAGACTGCAGTATAAACACCAACGACCGGTGGTGACCAGTTTCTGTAGGGCGATGAATGATTTATATTAATTGGACTATTTGGAGAGATTTTACCACAGGGAGTGGTGAATTTCATTGAATTTGACATGCACACGCGCATGGTATTCAACTCAGAAGGGAAACGGACAATTATCTATTTGTTTGGCACCAAAAAACCTTTCCCCTTATGAGTAAAATTTTTATCTAGATATGCCTGAAAAGAGCATCACAAAATTAGTAATATTCCGAAGTTTCGTTGCGAAATGTTGTAGAATGCGGATAATATAGCCTTGCGAAGTTTTCCGTTTTTCAGTCATTTTGCATTACAAACGGGAAATTGATAATCAGTTTGATCATCTGATTATCAATTTCCCGTTTGTAATGCCGGCAAAATGACTGAAAAACTGCAAATTTCGCAAGGCTATATTATCCGCATTTTACAACATTTCGCAACGAAACTTCGGAATATTACTAATTTTGTGATGCTCTTTCAAGCTGTGATGAAATGTTTGTCCAGATTTGTCTAGATCAAAATTTCACTCAAAAAGGGAAAAGTCTAATGTATGCAACGGATGGATTTGCCTTTAAAGTTGAATGCATGGAAAAAAACGTAAGCTCTGGTCAAACGAGATTGAGAGTCGATGAGAGTGCCAAGTCATGAATTGTTACAGGAAAGATTTCAAGTTCTAGGTTAACAAAATGAAGGTCTGATACTGTAAGTGTTCCAACTATGTTTTAACTTAAATAGAATACAAAAAGGTTACATGCTTACCAACTCTCATACACTCCCATTCTTGTTTGACCTGGGCTTAAGTGAAACCCAGCTTAAACTCATCTATCCAGTCGATACCTCTGATTAACAACATTTAACACTTTCCCTGTTGGTGTCTGTTAATTTCAGGTTCGACTGCGTGATAGTTCGACTTATCGTTTATACTTATAGACAAAAGCTATACTATGTTAATTAATCATTTACTGCTTCTAATTTATTGATTTTTGTAAAATAAAAATAAGGTATAATTTTAAGTGACTGCATGTAGTACCAGGTTTTATTTTTCTACTAGAAATATGGTGTCTATCTATCACAAATACTGAAGAGGTTCAGATTTGGCCTTTACTCTGGCTTAATGCGCATTTTGATTGGTTAATCGAGTATATTAAACGCATTTGATTGGATAAAGGTAGTGGAAATCAAACCCTACCGGTTCAAGTTCCCACGCGACATCATACAGTGACCCACTATAATTTTTGTTTTAGTATTCAAATCACAAAATCAGTTTGAATGGCATGCATATGTTTTTTCGTGGTCAACTACAGCGTGATGTTGACATTGGAAAAAGTAAATTAAACTAAATCTCAATTCTATTGGCCACCAAACGGCAAGACAATGAATTTTTTTCACTCCGTTAACTGCCTGGACATACACATGACGTCATAATACGGTGTGAAGAGTATTTACTGTATTTAGTACACACGTAAAAACGCACAAGTTGTAACAAACCTGCAGCAGACTTGTAGCAATGCTGTTCCAACAACTTGTCAACAGGATGTGTTCGCACTGCTTGTTCCCAGCTTGTTGACAAGTTGTCAACGGCTTGTTGACAACTTGCTACAAGGTTGTTGAGCTCAACAGACTTGTTACAAGTTGTTCCAACAACTTGTTATCGTTCTACAATTCAACAATTTGTCAACAAGTTCTGAGTGACAACCGTTGTAGCAACTTGATAAAATAACAGCATTGTTACAACTTGTTGACAAGTTTGCTACAAGCCTGTTGCGAACACAGCACCAAAGTGTTAAGAGGGTCTAGATGGGGTGGGGG